CAGCAGCAGCAGCAGCAGCAGCAGCCCCACCACCACCAGCAGTCCTACTCGGCTCCCCAGCAGCAGGCGTACCCGGTGCAGCACGCCCAACGGCAGCCCACGCAGCAACAGCAGCAGCAGCAGCAGCCCCACCATTACCAACCGCACCATGCCCAGGGGCCACCCCTGCAGTAGGGGCTGATGGCGCGCGCGCCGCGACTCCGAGGGACAATACACACACACACACCCCCGACGGTGAAGGTCTTGCCAAAGAAAAACACCCAATAGCGTGTGATGAGTCTATGGTGTAGGAGGGCGAGGAGAGAGGGGGGGGGGGGGGGGGGGGGGGGGGGGAGAAGCTGACCAACATATGACAAAGATCGCCGGCGCGTCAGCCGGCCGTTGCCCGTGGGCTGGCGGTCGGCGTGCCGGTCAGGCACCCCCGGCAGCCCACCTTCTCCTGGTAGGCAGCCAAGGCCTCCTTGTAGATGCCGACCGCCATGTCGAAGAACTCCCCGCCCAGGCGCTGGCGGGACTCCTCGAAGCGCTGCTTGGCCAGCTCGTACAGCTGGATGTCGAACTGCACGCAGACCCCCGCCCAAACAAACATGAGAGAGAGAGAGAGCCGTGAATTGGGTCAGCACAACTGGCATCGGCGCGGCAGGTAGGCAGGGGGCCCGGGCACGTACATTATTCCGCTCCGCAATGAGCTGACGCTGCTCCTGGGTGACAACCGGGCGCTCGCCCTGCACGGCCTTGGTGCGGGCAAACATCAGCTCCTCGAAGCCGGCCTCATAGCGTAGCATGAGGGCCGACTCCGGGAGCCGCTCAAAGAGGCCGACAAAGCGCGCCTGCAGGTGGCCAGCCATCGTCAGGGGGATTCCGGGGCCAGGAACGAGGCAGAGGGGTTAGCCCGGGAGCCAGGACACGAGCGAGTGGCCAGCCACTTGACGCACCTCCAGGAGATTGCGCATGGCCACCGCAAAGGCCATGGCATCCGGCGGCCCATAGGTCCCGGACAGGTACTGTGTCTGAATGTTCTTGGCGTCTGGGTGGATTTGCACCCACTCGTCCAGCCCATGGGTGTCTGCGCGGCGGGCGAGCGGGGGGCGTCAGTCGCCGGCATGCGCAGAAAAAAAAAATGCTGGCCAGAAGGCGACCATAGGGGGGAGGGACACGACGCATACCAGCCAGATAGTGATACGGGTCCTTCTTCTCGGACTTGTGATAGAAGTAATGCGAGATGACCTGGACAGGGGGCGAGGGGGGTGGGGGTGGGGGGGGTGGGGGGTAAGGAAGCAGTCAGAGGCGAGGCGACCCACCAGGACCATAGGCAGACGGCATGCCATGTCCGTACACGCTTGACCGGCTCGCGCATGATGGTGAAGTAGTTGGCCCAGGGCCGGGACGTGCCGTCGGTGTGGCGCATCAGCGAGTGGACCCCGTGCCGGACATGGCCGAAGATGAAGTCCGCCGCGGCGGCACGTCTGACCAGGGGCGATCAGGCCGGCAAGAGGGAGACGCCCAAGAAAAAAAGGATGGTCAGTCTGCGGGCACCCGGTCGGCACACACATGCGATGGAAAGGGGGCAGAAAAAAAAAAAGAAGGAACAAGGCACAGCCGGGCCCGGCAAGGGGCAGGAAGACATCAGCCGTACCCCAGCTCGGCCTCGGTGGTGGGGGTACCCCAGAACTGCGCGAAGCCGGTGTCCCCGCGGATGCGGGCCATCGTGGCCAGCGCCGTGCCGGCGCACTTCGGCAGATGCAGGAACACATGCGGCCGGGGCGCTTGGAAGAGGGCCCGGCGCCGGGCCAGCTCCCCGAGCAGGGCCTCCCGCTCGGGCGTCAGGACCGACCGAAGGGGCTCGGCCGGCGAGGCGTTCCCCGCCGGGACATGGGCCCAGCGCGACGTCGGCCGCGGCGGCGCCGCCTCCAGCACCAGGGCCGGACAGGGCAGATCCCGCCCGAGGATCAGGTAGTCCAGCCGCTCGGCCAGGGGGTGATACTCGCTGGTGGCACAGTGCGACCGCGGCCCCATGTCGGGGGCAGCCCGGCTCGACGAGCTCACAGGGCCACTGGAGACGCTGCTCGAACCGGCGGACCCGCCCCCGGTGGACACGACCTTCGGCAGCAGGCGGCCCCAGGCCCCCCCGCCAGCGGGACAGTAATTGGCCCAGAAGATCGGCCCGGCGGCCACCTCGGCCGGGGCCCGACCCCCGGGCCGGATCTCCTGCACCCCGGTCACGGTCGGCAACCACCGGGAGTCGATGCCGCAGGGCGCGGCCGCCAGGGCCGCCCGGGTGCCCGGCTCGGCCCAGTCACCCACCGACAGGACGGTCTCCGGGCCCGGGGCCAGACACTCGTCTCTCAGCGCCCCGAGCCCGGGCCCGAGCTCGGCCCCGAGGCCCCCGGGGAAGGACTCCAGCAGGGGCCCATCATCGCGCGCACCGCGGAAGTGACGCGGCCCGACCGCCGGATCTGCCCCCGGGTCATCCCCAGGCAGGACCAGCATCAGAGTGAACAGCAGCAACAGGCTACCGCCGATGAGCAGCGGCAGCAGGCGCCGCGGCGTCAGGAGAAACCGCAGCCCCACGGCGACTTGCCGGAGGGTGGGCATGCCGCGACGCCGGGAGGGGCAGCCGGAATGGCAGCCAGGGGGGAGGGGGGGGGGAGGCGAGCCACAGACGAGAGGGGCGGCGGGGGGACAGGCGGAGGCGAGCGCGGAAAGAAGGGCACACACACGGAACGACGAAGATGATGAGGGGAGA